ATACTTTCTTATTATTAGACATTTAAGAAGGAAATATACTGCATAAAAAAATTCTTGAGGTGCTTGTGTGGCTCAGTCAGTTAAGTGTCCGACTTTGGCTCAGGTCATGATCTCACTCTTCATGCTTTCAAGCCCAGCGTGGGGCTCTGTGCAGACAGCTCGGAGCCTGGAGCCTGTTTTGGATTCTGTGTCTCCTCTCTGCCCCACCCCCACTCACACTCTGTCTCTCTCTTAAAAGTAAATAAACATTAAAAATTTTTTAAAAAAATTCTCATTATATTTCTTGAAGAGTAATTATGAAAGTCTATATAAAAATATATGTTTATTTTTATGTTGTATCAAGATTTTAAAATTTTCAGATAATTGTTTCCCAAACTTGGAACTTAAATTAAATTTCATATATATCATTCTGGGGGGAAAATGTATTCTGTGTGTATGAGATGCCACCAGAAAATTAGCTTCCCTTTTAAGTCTCATAACCTTGTCTCCAAAATGTATAATTAGAACTTTTGCCAAATCTTACTTTTCCTTGGGAATTTGCTTAGTGGCTGTCAATCAAGTAAAAATAGTTGACTTTGAGACTTCATTGTTGTCCTTGTCTGAGGAAATTTTTTCTAAGCCTTCATTGTAGGCTAGAGCAGCCAAAGCAGCCTTGTCAGGCCTTCACATGACATCATTCTTCCTCCCTAAATCCAATATCAATAAAACCAGAAAGTTTAAACTGTATATGGAAACAGTATAATGAGCAAGTGCTCTTGGCTATTGTTGAATCTTTGAGCTATCTCTTCAAATCCCATAAATCTCAAGATAACTGATCTATTAGTTCAGTGTGTGTTTCCTGACCATTTCAGTGTGATGTGTGGAGAAAAGTGGACACATTTCCCATAACTGCACTTATAATATATGGTACTGGAAAAAAAAGAAAGACAGTTGCCCTTAAAAATTTTTTTTTTTGAGTATAACAGTAATCCACTCTAGATTGAAGGGATTTAAATACTCATTCCTTGGAATGGTGAATATCAGTATTTGGGGTCTTAAGGCAAACATGTGAGCGCGTGGCATGGCTAGCCTTATTTTTGTCATGCACAATTTATACCCCGATCCACAGGATTTTCTCATTCGCATTTTTTGTGTCTCAGAACATATGGAGGACCTACTTTATGTCAGGCACTGGCAAGTGGGGATTTAAAGATGAGCGACACATGCTTCCTGTGGTCAGTATTTTCAAAATTAGATTGACAAGTCAGACTATTGAAAACATGGAGTGAAGTCTTGTGTGCCGGTCTACTACTGACAGAAGCAGTTGTGACATCAGCGTAGTTGGGAAGAGGGGGTTTCTGGAAGGACTTTCTGTAGGTAATGCCTGGGGAGACTCCATTATAGTATGCTATCGAGTAGTAACCAGTAATCTGATAAGATTCCTTAGCATTAGTTCAAGTAAATGTATTCACTTTTGTGAGGGTGTTTAGTTCATAAGCATTTTCTCCTGAATGGATGGAAAGGCTTTGCTTTTGGCAAAAGTGGTGGTTCTTTACTTTGTGTGATCCTTTCTGACAACCTGTGGTGGACCTCTTCCCTGCAAAACATTTGACTGAGTGTATAAACTCATACGTATGTTTTGCATACAGCTTTTAGGAACTCACAGGCTCAAAGCCTCCTCAAAGCTGGTCGCTGGATCCCAGCTTCAAAATGGGATAAAGATCTTTGGAGAATCCTGACGTGGGCACAAGAAGTATCATTTAAAGTCATGATGCAGGGAATCACAACCTTGGATTGCTTATTTTCTCCATACATTCTTTTATAAAATAAGTTTACTCTACTTACTACAATAAAAGCTATTTATTTGTCTTCCTTGGTCTTTGATTTAAAAAAAATTGTAGTACAATGAATGCAAATAGCCTTCAGAAGAAAAACAATACCTGTGGTTTTCCATGTAGTTTAAAAATTGTTCTTGACATTTTATGTTGGCCTATTGGTTAGCTCCAACCCCATTTTTGACCGTAGGAATCCAAGCAGAATTCCAAACAGATAGTCAATATTCCAATTGCATTTGAGCAATTCCCTAGTATTACTATCTATAACCAGTTTCCTGTTTGCTTTCAATTCTGATAGCCCCAACCTCAGATCATTTAGGGCTAATGAGTAATAATTCATACTTTTCAAACTTTCTCATTTTTTGATGCAAAACCAATAGAAAATACCATAAAGAAAGAAAAACAAAAAACCTCAAAGTGGATTTGAGAATTACAAATATCTTGGAGCCTAAATAACAAACATATATTAGATTATGATGCAAATTCTAGATCTGTGTAATAGAGGGGGTTGTGGTCCAGCTTGCTACACCAATGCTTAAGTATTTTAGCATCCAGAAATAAAACATTTAGATTTAAGTAGAAGATGAATTAAGGAAACCCTCAAATGTGTGCACTATAAAGAAAGAGATTGTGCATTTTAAATTGTGTGATGGGTTGTCATTTTAATGTGGCTATTTTCTTTTTTTAATGTCAATAGTATCAAAATTTAAAGATGTACATGGCCTGCAGTGTATCCAGTCGGCAAACAAATGAATTGGCTTCGTCGTTCACTGTTGCTTATTCTCAAAGAAATACTTGGTTTTCTCCTGAAGCGATTTATGGTGTATTCAGAACTGCCACACCATTCTGAAGCTTTCAGTTCAGAAAAAAATAACAATAAATAAATCAGTGGGTTTACGTATTCCAGAATGGTTTTGCTTCCTTTTAAGAATCCTCTGGCCTTGTGCTTTTCTTCTCCCCAGAAGTAATGTCTTTGCTCCTGTGAAGTGTTGTATCGTTGGGCTGCTGATCTGTTTTTTATATAATCCATCCATCAAGACATGAATCCTATTGCATGTGACAAGTTGTTACAAGAAAATAAAAATCTAAAACACATTTTAGTTTTATTTTACTCATACTACTTTTATTATATAAAAGGAGTACTGACAAACTGTTTTGTTTGGTTGAGTGCCTCGGTTTTCAAGTTAACCAGCTGATTTGGGGAGGAGTAAAAGTTTATTCTTGCAAAAAAAAAATAATGCTAATAAAGATGATGACAATGACAGTTATTTGCAGTAATGGCAACTTGTTAAAAAAATCTGAGCCTCTAGAGACCACCTAAATCAGAGCCTACCTTTTCACCAGATCTGCTGTGATTCCTATTCTAATTAGTGTTAGAGTAACGCTAGTTTAGTTGCACTAAGAAAGGAAGAACCAGGCTAATATTCACTGCCCATCAGTGCCCTCAACTACTTTTGTCGTAACTAGCAAATTTTTGATTTGCCTTAAAGTGTAAAAGCTTGGGGGGAAAAGTACAAACTTTATTTTTATGAAAACTTTATTTTAAGAAAACTTTTATATAATTGCAAGTTTTTTATTTAGGCAGGTCATCTGTTTCTTGAGGTGCTGGGTTTAGGGGTCCTGGAGCATCAGCAGTTTCTTCTACATGTGTATGAAGCCAGTTAGAATCCAGATTCAATTTCAGGCAACAAGACCAGCCTCTTAGCCAGTGCTATTAACTCTTCTACACACCATTCATTACTTTGTCTCTATAATAGTGAAAGAGTGTAAGCATTTCCCTCCTTCATGCTTTTCCATTGACAGTAGGGCAGAAGAGAAGGGTTGATGAGAGAATTCTAATTTTAATGAATATTTTTCCACATGTTGAAGTGATAACCTTCCTTGAACGACTTTCTGTCTTCTGCCTCTCTAGATTTACACATAAATCTATCCCCTTCTTATATCATTTTGTATGAGGGAACTAAACTGAGTAAATAATTTTACATAATAAACTGTTGACCAAAGCCTAAAATATTATATTGCTTTCAGGATTGAAATTTCAATTTTATAAATTAACTAACATTATTAGCTAGTTTTTGATAGTGAAAATTCATAAATATTAAGTTTTAAGTCTACTGAAAGACAGTGATTGGAAAAGTATAGGGATTCTTTCACCTCCTAAAAATTTAATGTATTTTCCTCCTCTTCCATTTGGTTTTGCAAAAGAAAAATTTGAAGAAAATTTTGGAAAAGAAAATTTGTAAACCTGTATCAAGAAACACTATCCCAGAACTTCCAAGGCATTTGTCAATGTTTTAATCTCATGATTAATTTATTCTCTATTTTAAATTTGCTGTGTTTCCTAAAGTTATTATAGTTTGACATCTGGCAACACTAAGAGATTGATTAGCTTAGTTTTGGACTCAAATAAACAAGGAAGACAATTTTTTGTTATGTGGATGCATATTTCTGACTTTACAAGAGAAATCCACATATTGATATTCAAGAAATTATCTCATTTTTTCCCACAATGGTTTATAGAGCTTTATTTTATTAAGCAGCATAAAAGACTGGATATAAAAGATAGTGTGTTTTCAGGATTTGGGCAATGAATTTGAAGCTCCTGAAAATATGGACAATGTTTTATTTAATATTAAAGATCAAAAGTATAGTACCTAGTCATTGACTAAACAAATATTGACTCAAATATTTCATTTGGTATTTATTTATACATTTCACAGAAATTCAGGGGCAATGCCGTTTTCAGAGAAAGTGTATCATAATTATATAAAAATGCGATGAATAAGCTGTTGTGACAGTACAATATTTAGTTACTACTACCTCTCCTGCTGCTGGTTACAGGCATCCATTGCAAATTCAAACACTCTTCCATTTATTTGCAAATGAGCCATGAGTGCTGAATGCTTCCTTAGATCCCCCCATAAATTATTGACCTTTTGATTCAAAGAAATGACTTACTCCCTCCTCTCAAACATCAAAGTAAGAAAATGTGGGTCATAATCTTTTGTAAGTGTCTTATATTATACTCTTACAAGTTCAGTATTCTATTCAGTTATAATTACTTTCTGAAATATTTGTCTCAATGAATCACAGTTCCATAATTTTAGCAAAATTTTCTGATTAGCTTTGTTTGCATTGACTTTGTTCTTAAGTATTTTACATTTTAATTGAACTTTTCTTTTTTAGCTGTGTTTTGGGGTGATATTGCCTTAGATGATGAAGACTTAAGTATCTTTCAAATTGATAGAACAATTGACCTTACACAGAACCCCTTTGGACTTGGACATACCACAGGTATGGTTGATTGTTGGATTGAAATTGTGTTCATTCTGCAGAAAAGATACTTTTGAGATGCTAAAAGCACTCTTTCAATCACTTTTCACGTCCTGCTGAACGACTTCGATTTCATAAACATAAACGAACCTATTTGGAAATGTATATTTTCTTCATAGTTTTAATTTTATTTATTTAACAAACATTTTGTAACATTTACCATGACCAGACCTGATTTAAGTGCTTTGCAGATATTAACCTTTTGAATCTGCATAATAACCCTATGAGGGGTAGCTACTAATATTTTTACAAGTGAGATGATTGAATTAACTGTATTTCTTATTTTCTTCTTTCAACCGGTATAGTCTTTCCCATAATATTTACTTAGTTTGTTTTTAGAATATGAGAGATAACCATTTTATCAATTTTTTTCTATTTTAATGAAATACACAGAATTTTTTACAATTTTTATTTCCATAAAAAAGTTTAAATTGCTAAATATGAGGAACATTAATTATTGCCATCAGTTGTCTTGAAGCATTGTTTTTGTAAAATTCTATAATTACTTTTATCCTTATAGTTACCTTATAATTAACTAAGACTCTTCTTTTTTCTCATAATTAACCTTCTTCTAAAACTATTTATATGTGTTTCAGGCCTGTCTAATATGAAGTTATAACTGTTACAAAAGCGTCATTTCAAACATATAAGTGCCATCCTTCAAAAATGTTTCTTATAGCTCTTTAGGAGTGAACACATTCAAATATTACCTCATCTTTCTAGAATGTTCAATGAAAAAAATTTCAAAAATGTTTCTCAAGTAGCACAGCAAAAATGTGACTGTGTAATGCAAATAATCAAGCAGGTTATTAGTCAGTGGACGAACACTCTAGCTTATTTGCCTTATAAGGACTTGATTGATTTTTTCCTCCAAGAGGCTTATATAATGTAATGGTTTTTGTTATTAGTTTTATTTTTATTAGCTTTAATCTAGATAAATAAGTTTTGGTATTAATTTCAAAGGTGGGGGAAATATTGGAAAGAAATATTTCAAGGTCCAAGAACAGTTTGTTGTCTTTGTGGAATTCTGGCCCTTTCATCGTCTTAGCCTGAAGAGACTTATGAACCATACTCTGGTGATACGAATTCATCTGCACGTCTTCAGATATCATTACTGGTTATATTGGTCCATTGCTCAGTGATGACTTTTTGCTATTTGTCTATTGAAAATTCAGAAAGAATGGAAAATTCAGAAAGAGATGGAGATAAAATTGGGAGAGCATTTTAGTAAAGCCCTAGAATGAGAATCATAGGACTTGGATTTTCCTTAAATGCTCTGGTTTCTGGCTTAGGACAGGAAATCTGCCTTTTCTAGTCTTTTTCCAGTTGGTAAAACTGCAAAAAGACGTATTTTCTTATCCTGACCCCTTTTACCTTTTGAGCTATAAAATTCTTTACATCTATTTTAATAAGTGTTGCCAATTGCATAGCATCACAGAACATATTTTGCCGCTAGATATCCTTTTGGAATCTTGTGATGTTTTTCTAATTATGTGTTACTGTTTTTTATAACTTTTCAAAACTAATTTTTCTAGTTTTGTGTGAACATATTATAAAGCATGATATGCCTTTAAAAATTATTTCAAAATTGATCACAGCTTTGGAGCAAGACTTGCACTATACATTGGCTTTTCTAATGTTTTTATTTCCATTGGCTGATTTGTCTTCTGAAAATACTCAGTTTACATTGCAGACATAGCTGGAATGCAGTCAATAGGGCAGAACAACTTGCTGTCATCCTATAGAACACTATGTGATGTCAAGGTCACAGTGAAGAAAAATGTTCTGAATTATCAATAGATGACTCAATTGCTGTGATGTCCAAATAAAGTCATTTAAATTGCTCTCTGGATCCTCCCCACCCCCTTGATTCCTGGTACCAAAATTGTGTCTGTAGAACATTTACACTCCTAAGATTTATGGGTATTCATGACTCTAATACCCTAAGATCACATAAAAAAGTGTCCAAAGAGAAACCAATGTTGCCTGTTGCTATGGTTTATTTGCAAGAGCTTTAAAATACAACGAGTTTAACTTAACTATTTTCTTTTATTCTTAAGGTGGATTTGGAGACCATAGTATGTCAAAGAAACGAGGGGCCCTTTACCAGCTTATAGACAGGATCAGAAGAATTGCCTCTGGTATATCAATGTTTAAAGTTGCAGACGCTTGACTTGATGTACAGTAAATATTATACTAATAGCAGTTCAGTTTGACATTAATATGCAAAGTATGTGAAGTATATATGCTGAGAAAGTCCGTTATTCTTTTTTTTTTTTTTGCTGATGTGTAAGAACTTAAATTTGATTAATAGAACTTAAAATTGCAATGTTTTCTTAACTTATTTTCAGCTTCTCCTTATTATAAAATTATTTGGGGGTTATTTTACTGTTGATATTTATTTCCAATTCATTGGTATCACACGAAGGTGTTTTTACCAAGCATGGAACTAGATCAATTTTAATCAAATCAGAAAATGTTTAATCAAACAAAAGCTGTTTGTTTTGAAATAAAGTCCACTTAAAGCAAATTGACAAACCGATTTGTTAGATTAAGAAAATAGTCGAGAATGTTTGATCCTCCCAAAAATATACATAGAAAAACAACCTTCTGGTTTCATAATTAGTTAACACTTCTAGTATTGAATTTGTTAAGCACTATTTATAGATTTTAGAGTATTTAAGAGTTTTCTGTGCAAAGTTTATATCCTAATATTTTTAAATTGATGAATTATTAATTAAATTATTGACAGTACACACTACCAAGGAATAATTTTTCCAAGCAAAGATGCTTTGTTTCAGGATATTAAAAAGCTAGACCTGTTAGGGACATGGGAATAGGGGGATTAATTCAGTGTTTGTTGTGTCTGAAGTATAAGCCAGTGGGTTATTTGTGTCAGTGGTGATAGATGAATGGGAAGAAATAATAATGAAGATTTAGGAAAAACAAAAACAGTAACAAAAATATTTTGGGGTGTGTGGGTGGCTCAGTCAGTCGGCATCTGAATTTGGCTCAGGTCATGATCTCATGGTTTGTGAGTTCTAGCCCTGTGTCCGGCTGTGTGCTGACAGCTCAGAGCCTGGAGCCTGCTTCAGATTCTGCGTCTCCCACTCTCTCTGCCCCTCCCCCTCCTCTCATACTTTGTCTCTCCAGGTCTCTGAAAAATAAATATAAAATTTCTTTTAAAAAATGTTTTGAAAGGCCATCAAGTAAAATTAAATGACTACAGACTTGAAAGCTACCCCAGGAATAGACCTCATTTTATGTTGGCCTGTTCACATTTTGTACTGATCTCTAAATCATGCCAGGTCACCTGGATATGAATCCAGAGGAAATTTGAACACAGACTTACTGGCATCCCAGGAGGCCGAGACCGTATCTGTCTTAATATTATTTCACTTACCCTCTCTGTAATGTAATATTCAAATTTTAGGCTATACTATATAATATCAATCCTGATTTAAAAGAATGAAGGATTTAGCAAGAGTTAAGAGGAATTTTGAATATCTTGTGATTTTTTAAACAATGTCTATTTTATCATCTGGTGGTGAACTGGTAGTGCTCTTGTGTTAGACTGCATAAAACAGTTTTTTTGTGGCCTACAAGTCTGCCTGTCTTCTCTCCGTTGTTGACTGTTGTATGGGACTTCATTAAAGTTGCTAATAGAGCATCATTGAGAAATAGCATTTTGACATGAAATGCTTAAATATTTTAATGTTTTTCAAGTAGGTAATATAAGTGAAGTTCTTCTTTAATGCCTTGACTTTAGGCATATTTACACAAATATGTAAATAAGACATTTCAACTTTAGTCTTTTAAGAGGAAATGATTCCCTGACCGAGGACTTCTGTTTCACAGAATGTTTTAAATGTCACTGCAGGTTTGGAGCAAAACAACACAGTGAAGGGAAAAGTACCTCTAAAATTCTCAGGGCAAAATGAGAAAAATCGAGTTCCCAGAGCTGCTACATCGAGAACAGAAAGAATATGGCCTGGAGGTGTTATTCCTTATGTTATAGGAGGCAACTTTACTGGTAAGATATTCCCAGAGTGTTTATTTTTATAATGAGATATTATCATATGGATTAAGTGTGTATTTTTACAGAGTTTTATATATTAATATATAAAACATAGTATTGAATCAAACATGAGAAATATTCCACTCACCTCGGTGGTTAGTTTAGAGCATCTTTGGAATTGAAAAATATCATTAGTGTGGAGTTCTAAGGGTCAAAAGTGCTGCTTTGGTTTTTAAACTGAGTCTCAAATGTGCCCAGTAAGTCTGGAAGCTGATTTCTCTTCAACTGTCAGGAAGAATGTATGTCCCATTTATAGAGCTTTGTACACATACATTAAGGTAGTGAGTTCGAAACTTCTGATTATAAGGTGAGTGTCCATTCTTAAGAGTGGTCACTTGTGACGCTCCAGGCTCATATTTGTTGGTTGATGAGAGTGACGGCATTTGAACTGCCCAGGCAGACTGAGGATGAAGGAGCCAGCATGTGGCACTGTTCCCTGAGACAGATACTCTTATTAATATCCTGACATTTTTCCAGGCAGCCAGCGAGCCATGTTCAAGCAGGCCATGAGGCACTGGGAAAAGCACACATGCGTGACTTTTATTGAAAGAAGTGATGAAGAGAGTTACATTGTATTCACGTATAGACCTTGTGGGTAAGTGGAACTAGGAAATGGTTTAAGTACGTGTAGAAGGGGGAAAAATCCATAGGTAGGAGTCATTTCTGAATATTTGCTTGGCATTTTGCCTATGATAACGTGTGAATTTTACATAAGAAAATATGATACTTAAATTTTTCTAAATGTTTATTATTTTTGAGAGACAGCGTGTGAGCAGGGGAGGGGCAGAGAGAGAGGCAGATGCAGAATCCGAAGCAGGCTCCAGGCTCTGAGCTGTCAGCACTGAGCCAGATACAGGGCTTGAACTCACAGAGTGCGAGATCATGACCTGAGCTGAAGTCGACCATTTAACCAACTGAGCCACCTAGGTGCCCCAAGAACATATTATATTTAAAATAGATATTTTCTTTGATCACACACTTTGTACATCTACCCCAAGTGTATTTCTCCACCAGGTCAACTACTTTTCTTTGTGTTACAACTGTAACAGCGGTATTGCCCACATCTCACTCATCTGAAGTGGAAACTTTAGTAACACTGTCTGATGATTGTCTTGTGCTCCCTCTAAAACCTATGCAGTAAGATTTCACTGATATTCAGTGGGTCTGTTGATTTCCACCTATATTCTATGTCAGTGCCTCAGTCCATATTCATCTCTTTGTCATGCCACACCTGATCTATTCCAAATGCTCTGCCTTGTTCCTTCACCAATTTACTGCTACTAGAATTATCTTCAAAAAGTGCTGGTCAGAGCAAGGTACCACACTTTTTGAGGTTTTTCAATGCTTCCTCATACACTGGTGCTTTCTAGATTTTCTTACAGGAAGATAACAAATACTCTCCAAAACAACTGTTCCGTAAATTGTGAAAGGGTGTGTTAAATTTCAGTAGGTATTTCTGCAGCAATGTGCTAATGAACATTATGAATATTCAACCAACTGAAGAGAATATAGAATCCAGTGTTTTTAAAACTGTCTTAAAAACGAGAACACCCATGCCACTCTTTCAAAAGTGAAGAATGTACATCAGTATCCCGAAACACATTTGGGGAAATGTTAGCCTGAGAATAAAATCCAAATCCCTTGATATAACATTTAAAGAATGCCGTGAACTTACCACAACTTCCATCTGCAGCCTCTCCTCCGCCACATCTCTGCACACATCCCATACTCTAGCCAAGTTACAGGAATGGCAGCTCTCCAACCATTGCTGTATCCTCTACAGACGTTTTACTCTGAAAGTTTTCGAGTTTCTCTCCCTTCTACTTCCGCATTTGAATACTTGATTAAATTCAGATGGAATTGGTGTTTGTTTGCTAAGAATACTTGACAGGGTTTGCTGTCTACTTTACATTATATCCAGTCAGGAGGCATGTGTGCTGGTCTGCCACTTCAGTGATGCTGCTGTTGACCAGTAGATTCCAGGAGTGACAGCCAGGTCCCTCCATTGTAAAAGTTCCCATCATTGCAAAAGAGTGATGTTCTAATATTGCTTTTTCTTTTTATCCCTTCTACAGTTATTAGCTAGAATCCTTGTATAAAGAGGGATGTTCTCTAGTGAGCTATAACTATTTGAATACCCTCTAGTATAGTTTATAATAAAAAAGTAAAAATAAATGCTTAATTCCTTTAGAGGAAATAGTTCTTGTCAATCACATATATTTTTTGGGGAGAAATCTATATATTTCACTAGGTACTGGGAGAGGATTATGTGATCTGGCTTTGTTCTACCATCTATTCCTAGAACATTTAACCTCACTTAAAAAGTAATCAATTTTAGAGGCACCTGGGTGGCTCAGTCAGTTAAGCGTCCAACTTCGGCTCAGGTCATGATCTTAAAATTCGTGGGTTCGAGCTCCGCATCAGGCTCTGTGCTGACAGCTCAGAGCCTGGAGCCTGCTTCAGATTCTGTGTGTCTCCCTCCCTTTCTGTCCCTCCCGAGTTTGTGTTCTGTCTCTCTCTCTCTCAAAAATAAACAAACATTTAAAAAAAGTAATCAGTTTTAAGTAAAAGTTTTAAAAAGAAATCAGTTTTAATTTTGGTCCTAGATAGGGGCAGAAATTTTACATTATTGCCTTTCTCTGTAGTTTTGGATAATATCATAATTTTTTAGTTTTGACTTATTAAACTAATGTTTTTGTTCCAAATTACTTTAAATTTAGCTTGACAAGTTTCGGTCACATTTGAAATACCTCCTAGTTCCTTATATCTAATAAGAATGGATATAGCTCAGCTTACATATTTCTAAATACATAATGTATTCGCATCAATACATCTTTCTTTTTTCTTTACCACCTTTCAGTTTTGTGAAACAAATACAAGCAAAGCACTGGCATTTATTATTTTATTGATAAATTTCTGTGTGTAACAAATTCATATTTATACTCATTTTCTTTCATTAATTTGGCTTTTTTTTCCAAATTTTTCATCTTGTTTCTGCTAAACAATTTTTCCCATTCACTATATTTTCTTCATTTTTTGCTTGTGCTCTTCTGATTGCTTGGAATGCCTTTACTTCCATTGTCATTAGTGGAAACCATTTGCATATTTCCTTCTCACCCCCTTCTGAGCTGCCCTCTGTGGGACATTGCTCTACCCACAGCTGTAACAGTGACATTCCCACCATTGGTTCATCTGTCCACCTTCATCAGTGCTTATCTCTGTGTCCCTTAGGACACCTAGTGTGCTGCTTTCTAGATAGGTAATCAAGAAAATCCTGACAATTTATGCATCAGCTAAAGAACATTGTATGTAATCCTAAAATAAAATTATGTAAGAATTTAAGGAGGTATTGAAGAGCATGCACTTTAATGATTACTGTAATGATTTTAGAGAACTGGAAACTGAAGGTGTGAATTGCTGTCAGATCTTTAAATCTGTATTTGCACTCTTGGAGTTAAACTCTTGAGTATTATATATACATTTAATTTGACTGTTATGGTAGTAATATTGCATTTGATGATTTCTCTTGATACTCAACTTCTCTGTAATTGTTATAAATGAATGTTGTAAGTGTTTAAATAAACATTTTCAGTAATGGAAATGGTGATACATTTTATAAGCATAGACCATTGGCTTGCTAATCATTCTAACTATTTTGTGACCTCTAAATTTCATTTGGAACTACCATTATTGGCCATAATTTTATGAAACAACTATTTCATCATTTAGGAGATTGTTCTATGATAATGCTGCATTTACATCTCATAGAAATTAATCAAAATTATTAAAGAGTTTGGTTATTGGTAATTACACAAAATACTGAAGGCCACTGCAGTCAGATATATGTCAAGTCAAACACCTAACACTCCTATTGGATTTTAGTATTGTGTCTTTTATCTCATAAGAGCTGTTGCATGTAGGGCATTGAATTTAATAATATCCAGTGTAAATCTTCATTGAATACAGAGAGCCTGTAAGGTAGTGCCATTAGTATTAACGGCAACATTAACCAGTTCTATTTCTGGCTTTGAAATGGCAGGCAAACACATCTCACCACTTCATATCACTTTTTTCATTTTGATTTTAGTTTACCCACTAAGGCCACTTGTAGCTATTGTAGTTTTTTTTTTAATGATAATTGTTTTCTTTTGAGAGAGAGAGAGTATAAGCGGAGTGGGGCAGAGAGAGGAAGAGAGAATCCCAAGCAGGCTTCACTCTGTCAGTGCAGAGCCCAATGCAGGGCTCAATATCATGACCATGAGATCATGACCTGAGCTGAAATCAAGAGTCAGAAGCTTAACTGACTGAGCCACCCAGGCACCTTGCTGTTGTAGTTTTTAACAAACAAAACAAAACAAAACAAAACAAAACAAAACAAAACAAAACAAAAGTTAGGTTAGGCATCTGACTCTTGATTTCAGCTCAGGTCATGATCTCATCGTGGTGAGATGGAGCTCTGTGTGGGACTCCATGCTAAGCGTGGAGCCTGCTTCGGATTCTCTCTCTCCCTCTCTCTTTCTCTCTCTGCCTCCACTTGCACTCCCTCAATGCTCTCTCATTCAAAATAAATAAATAAACATTTAAAAGATAAAATAAAAAGATGAAAATAGAATCTAAAATAATGTCAATATTAATAGGAGAATTATTAAATAGAAAACAATTGTACCATTTAGCATATTGTATTTCCCACCCTATTCTGCTAGAATCAGCTTTTATTCGGTAAATATTTATTGGGTGCCTAATTCTGTATCACATCTTTGGTAAGTGGGAAAATAATAAAATTTTAAAAAGCAGATGGTAAAGTTCAGAACTTTTTGGCATTTGATATCTTTGATCCAGCTTCAATGGGGCGTATGCTTTAGCTATCTCTTCCTAGGTTGACAAAAGTTTAAACTTAACTATAAATATTTTTTAGTGAATATTTATTGTCATGAGTGGCATTTGTTTATTTCACAAGATGATTAATTATTAGCAAAATGAGAGATCATTTTATAGCAACTTGTTTGACTTATTTCTTTGTAAGGAAGACATTTATATATTATTTTTGTCTACTATACAAGCTTATATTGCTGAATAGCCTCTATTTTTAAAGCATAACATTTTTTTTATCCTTATATTAGTTTCAGATGTACAGTGCTGTGACTCAACAATTCCATACATCATCTGGTGCTCATGTCAACAAGTGCACTCCTTAATCCCCATCACCTCTTTAGCCCAACCCCCACTCTCCTCAACTCTGGTAACTATCAGTTCATTCACTGTAGTTAAGAGTTTGTTTCTTAACTTTGTCTCTGTCTTTCTCAGACTTATTTCACTTAGCATAATACTCTCTAGCTCCATTCAGGTCATTGCAAATGGCAAGATTTCATTCTTTTTTATGGCTGAAGACTATTCCACATCTTCTTTATCTATTCATCAGTCAGTGCACACTTGGTTGATTCCATATCATGACTATTGTGTTGTAAATAATGTAAATGTAAACATAGGGTGTATGTGTCCCTTTGAATTTGTGTTTTTGTATTCTTTGGGTAAATACCCAATAGTACAATTGCTGGATTGTAGGGTAGTTCTATTTTTAAGATCTGGAGGAATCTCCATATGGTTTTCCAGAGTGGCTATACTAGTTTGCATTTCCACCAACAGTGCACAAGTGTTCTTTTTTCTCCATACCCTAGCTAACACCTCTTTGTTTCTTGTGTTGTAGATTTTAGCCATTCTGACAGGTATAAGGTGATAGTTCATGGTAATTTCGATTTCTATTTTTCTGATTGTAAGTGATAACTAACATCTTTTCATGTGTCTGTTGGCTATCTGCAGGTCTTCTTTGGAGAAATATCTGTTTTCGTCTCCTGTCCATGTTTTAACTGGATTATTTGTTTATTTTGGTGTTGGGTTTGATACGTTTTTTTATGTTTTGGATACTGACCCTTTATCAGATATGCCATTTGCAAATATCTTCTCCCATTCAGTAGATTGCCTTTTAGTTTTGTTGACTGTTTCCTTCGCTGTGCAGAAGCTTCTTGTTTTGAAGTACTCCAGTAGTTTATGTTTGCTTTTGTTTCCCTTGCTTCAGTATACATATCTAGAAAGAAGTTGCTACAGCCAGTGTCAAAGAGGTTACTGCCTGTGTTCTCCTCTAGGAATGTTATGGTTTCAGGTCTCACATTTAGGTATTTAATCCATGAATATCCTGTATTTTGTATTACCTCTCTGACTCTTCTAGATAGTTTCTTGAACAATCTTACTGTTTTCCTATCTGCTAATTTTTAATGATTCTTTAAAAACAACTAACCAAACAAATAAAATTTGTACTAACTTATTCACCTATTTTTTAGATTTTGTGTTTCAAATTTGTCTTTAGCTTTGGTCAGTTTGGTTTTTCAGATTATGGCAGTAGTCACTTGTTCATCCTTACCTATAGCGTTTTCATTTTGTGCCACTTACTGTACCAATTTGACTGATTATAAAATTGAATGTGAGGTGTTTTTCTCTGCAAGGAGGTTATAGTTCGGCAGAAGAGGTGTGCCAGCCAGAATTCCTGCTTGCAGACAGCAGGGACTGGTTAATTTAAGCAGAAAAAGATGACTTGTTGGATTACTACGTGACTTACAGAATTACACTAATGGAAAAAGTAGAAAACCAGATTGAGGAGGTATTGAGGTAAGAGTATGTTTAACCTCTGGCCATAAGCATCTTCACCTCTGCTTTAGGTGCTCTCTGCTAGCCACCAGATCCTTAGCTCCCTCCTGCACTTATGAGATCTGTTCTTTTAACAAATATTTATTAATTTATTTATTGTAAAAATCATCTTTTCCCAGTTTCGTTACAATATAAATAGCATAAAATATTATATTCATTTAAGGTGCCTACCACGAAGTGTTGATATATGTGTACATTGTGAAATGATTCCCACACGGGGCGTCTGGATGGCTCAGTTGGTTAAACATCCAGCTTCAGCTCAGGTCATGATCTCGCAGTTCAGGAGTTCAAGCCCCATGTCAGGCGGAGTGCTGACAGCTCAGAGCCTAGAACCTGTTTCGGATTCTGTGTCTCCCTTTCTCTCTGCTCCTCCCATATTCATGCTCTGTCTGTCTTTCTCTCTCTCGAAAATAAAGAAACATTAAAAATTTTTTGAAATGATTCCCACAATAAATTTAGATAGCAGACATCACCTCATGTAGTAGCAACATTTTTATTTTCCTGATGAGAACTTTTAGATTTGCTCTCTTAGCAACTTTGTAGTATGTGATACAGTATTATTGTATTACAGTACTGCTCTGCATTACACCTGCAGGGCTTTTTTATCTTATAACTGGAAGTTTGTACCTTTTAAATCCTTTCACTCATTTGATCCACCCCCCACTTCCCACCCCAAGCTCTTGCAATTACCAGTCTGTTCTCTGTATCTATGGAGCTGTACTACGTGCCTGACTATATTTTAGGGGCTAGAGATATCACTATATAAAGCATGTAAGTTGTCTGCCTACAAATAGCTTATATTCTAGGATAAGAAGTCAGAAGAAAACATGAAAATATATGAAATGTAAAATGTATTAATAGACCATAAATTCAAGGACAAAAAGGAAAGCAATGTAAATGGGATGGAAAGGCACTTGCACAAAAACTTGAAAAGGCAGATGAAACAAGTCACACGCTGCCTGGGAGAATAGAGTTCCTGACAGAGGAAATCACCAGTAAGAAGGCTTTAAGGCAAGAGCTTGTCCGTATGCTCAAGGCACAGCAAAGAGACTGCATGGCTCAGGTAGAGTGATTACAGGGACAGGAATAGGAGAGGGGTCCTTATGGTAAGACATTTATGTGTGAAGATCATGTAGGTTCTTGCAGTTATTTGTAAGTATTGTACTTTAGAGTTTCCTCTGAGTAAAAGAGGGTTTTATTAATCAGCTGAAACAATTTATGTCATTGTAATACATGACCTTTAAAGTTCAGTGGCTTAGAGTAACAGATATTGATTCCTTATTTCTGTTGCCTGTCCATCACTGGTTGTCTGTGTTTCACTCCAGAGTTACCACTTTAGTATTCAGTCTGATGGCAAAATCTCTTTTTAGAACATTGCAGTTGTGGCAGATGAAACAGAGACAATATTGCCAACCACAATGACTATTAAACAGTCTCTCAGAATTTACAGTTTGTGCTCACATGACATTATTCAGAGCAAGTCACATGACCAAACTCAACATCAATGGTGTAAGGAAGGAAGTATAATTATCTTCCAGTGTGGGGTAATGAATATTTTTGAACATTGACACGATTTGCTATAGAACCATCAGAGAATATTGAGAAGAGGCATAATATGACTTTACAGTTTTAAATAATTTCAGTGTTGAGAAGACTGCTGTGGAAAGGACATCTTCATGGGTATCATGATAGATTGTAATATAGGCAACTTCCAAAAGTGCTTTGGTCCCCCAGTCAGAGCAAAGGTAAGGAGTAGCAGGTTTTAGATTAGTTGATTACTCTCTGTGGTTTAGAGACTCTCTGTGTTGCTTCTTTATAGATGGTGAAGGTTTTTCTTGAGAAGATAGAACTTTTGGTGGTCAAGCTTTAAGAGCATCATACAAATTAGAAACAAAAGAAATCAAAAGCTGTATACAAGAAAATAGCATCAACCTGAGCTACATTAGGAGCTAATACCGAGACATCCTTAAATCATTTTTTAATAAACTGCACATATTACTCTGTCATTCTAAACCTAATTGTTTGTGCATGTATTTAGTTATGTACTCATCCGAGTGTCCAGAATTATTATCTCCCTCAAACCATAGAAGTCAAACCACCACATTTTTCTTCTTTCACAGGACCATTCTACAAGTCAGAGGGAAATATATTTTTATTTTCTGTTATGGAATCCCATTTTACTTATTGGAACTTGTTTTGGATGAAATTATGGTAAAAGAAAGCGTTTTAGATTAAATAAGTTGACCACATGGCTTGACCATCTCCCAGATTTTGATTTGTGAAGTATTTTCTTATTTGAATATAACTAGCAAGAATGACTCAGCATGTGTTATTTAGTTGCTATATAATTATCAGATGTTGGTTTAACTACTTCTGCTCTATGGCAGTAATGATTCAGTTTAAATTTCTCCAACATTTGAAGTTTTGTGTTTTTCTACATCTAATACTTTTCAGTTTCATTATTTAATAACTACCTGTATATAGATTGAAAAAATACTATTAAAAATAAGAGCAAAACCAAAATTCCCTGATTTTTTTCCCCTACCAGCTACCTCTTTTTTTGTTATTGACTTATCAAGCTTCATTAACTGTTATAATAGATTCATAAATAATAAATCTGTGGTATAGGTTAAGATGCTTAAAGCTTTTAAAGCTTACAGAAATAATTGCCATGACAAACATTTGTATTTGTGAACAATCAAAAGGATTATCGAATATACTTACTCTGGAAACTGAAAATTTGTGAAATTCCATTGAATCATTTGGGCAATTAATTTTTGGCAATTTTCTCTTTTAATTTACTAAATTAAAAAAAGTGTTCAGTGTCTGGTGTATCATGGTTACTAACTATCCAAGACCAATTACTTGCCCTCAACCGCTGTCTCAAGGGGTGATCCTATAGAAAAGTATTTTAATGTAAGCACTAATTATCAAAGTTTTAGATATAATTATATTTATATAGCAAATGTCATAATTATGCCAGTTGTTGATTTTTCTTCACCAGTTAACTTTGGATAATTTACCTTTTGAAACTAATTTTCCTCCATTGACTCCTTCTAAGTTTTCTTCTTTAAATAAATTCTCCCAGGAGTAGGAAAAGTAACTCCGTTTTTGATTAACTGTCTTTCATAAAAAAAAAAATCTAATCCTGTTTTTCTTAAAGAGGAAAAATAACCTTTGTTTTTATATTCAAAACTGAAATAATGGATTATTGCCAGATAACCATAGTGACAAAGTAATTACCCACCAAAGTCGATAGATTATGAGAATAAAAAAAACTCTATTAGAAATAAAAGTGGGCTGATAAGTCTTGAGTTTAACTGTATGTTTAAAAGCACATTAATCACCATTGTAAGTACCTTATTTCCTGATACCTTTTGAGTACTCTTAAAGATGACTTAAAACATATATTGTAACATATGAGTTAGTGAAAAAGCACTTCCAGTGATTATGTGGGGACTTATGTTGTATATGAGTTTACCAGGATGCTAGAAATGAGCTGTGTTTGTTGATGAAAGACCTCTGAATGTATTGGACTTTGTAGGTCATCATAATTCTTGGCAAAAGTTTCACCATACTGTAACTCATTTATCATTGCCACCACCATCTCCCTTTTCTCCTTTATTGCAGATGCTGCTCTTATGTGGGTCGGCGGGGAAATGGACCTCAGGCAATCTCTATTGGCAAGAACTGTGATAAATTTGGAATTGTTGTTCATGAATTGGGCCATGTGATAGGCTTTTGGCATGAACACACACGGCCAGATAGAGATAACCATGTCACTATCATAAGAGAAAATATCCAGCCAGGTGAGAGACTTAGAATATGTTGGGTTTAAGGTTGACAGAATATTTTTTTTTAGTTGTGTTTAGAGTATTTATGTTTTAAGTTTTCTTTAAAAAATGTGAACTGATTTTTTTTGATATGGTAAACTCAGCATTTTGCTGATTAAAAAAATACTTGTGATGGTATTATATTTTTAATTTGTTTTCCTTCAGACTGGATGATTTTTGGTGCTTCTTATGCTTGATCTTTTTTTCTTAAGGTTTAGCTGTTTTATTTCTAAACTTCTGTGCTTTTCAAGAATGGGTGTAGGCTATTGAACCACAAATTAATATTATTAAAATTTACAGCATTTTTAATACTTAGCTCTATAATTTATGTGGTAGGAATTTAGAAAAGATCCAGTGTTTGACATGAAATGTGCTGCTACCATAGAAATCTATATTATACTAGGAACAATTTTTGGAGAATGTTTCAGGGAAATGACTCATTTCCAGGACAGTCTAAATAGTTTCTTTGAGAATTCTCCTTAAACTACCCTAAAGATAAATTCTGGAGAATTTTTTCAGTAATTGAAATATCAGATATAATTAAAATTTAATTTTCTCTGATAATTGATGTGTTATAATAGCTTTATTTTAAAGCTTTGTATTTAACTTTCATAAATTCATGAAATCAGTACATATCAATTACCAAAAGATTAAATTCTGTTTTTTTGGAATCATATTATACAGTCATATGTATTTCAAGCATTAGAAAAGTAAATGTGTGTTCTTTTTTCCTTATTCATGGCAGGTTTGAAGTTACAAACATTGAATTCCTTTGAATTTCTTATAATTAACAGTATTGATCTGTTTATTTGCTCATCACATATTTGGTTCTACCTATTTATTGAGGCATTATTAGATGATGAAAATGCTGCCGTGAAAAGTATAAGGCTTACTGTGGGGTATGTGCATATATATACATGATTACAAGTGGGTGAGAAAAGTAATATTAGTCATATAATGAGAATACTGTCAAGTCCAGGCAGTGTGTAACAAAATGCCTTAGTGAGTCAAGGAAAATGCCACAAAAGAACTGAAATTTAGAAGTAAAGTAGAAATGTTCAAAGTGCACCAAAGGGTTATAGAATTTCCAAGCTGAAAAGAATCATCATGATCATAGCTATAATTACAGAAAATGGAATCATTTTTATTTTCTCATTATGGCTACATGGTAAGTTGCAAATGGGAGAATTACCTAATGAGGTTACATCATACGGGATGTTCTATATGAAGCTAGGGAACTTAGATTTTATCTTTTTTGTAATGTTTATTCATTTTTGAGAGAGAGAGAGTGTGTGTGTGAGGCAGTGGAGGGACAGAGAGAGAAGGAGACACAGTGTCCATGCTCTGAGCTGTCAACACAGTTCCCAGCATAGGACTTGAACCTGTGAACCGCAAGATCATGACCTGAGCTGAAGTCTGATGCAACCCAGGTGCCCCAGATTTTATATTTTAGCTACTGGAGAATAATTGAGGATTGAAATCAGAACAAGTTCAGATTTTCAAAGAAGAAAACAAAAAGAATTCTTTCAGCTTTGAGATCCTTAACTGAGAATGGGGAAGTGGGAGTGGAGAGGATGAACTTAAGGAATCTGTAAGAGGATTAAATAAGTAATTTATAAGTGATGACTAAGTCTTCAGTCAAGGAAGTGCAGTTCAAGAAGAATAAGAGGGAATGACCTTTCAAATATATTTTAAGAGGAACACTAACAAGGGGGAAAAAATCTTCAAGGATTTATTTTAGGCAACAGGATGAATGGTGGCACCATCAAATGAAGGAAGAAATATGGATAAAGCAACATATTTTTTTTAGAATGAGAAAGACAGATAATGATTTTATTTAGCATACTCTTGATTTTGAGAAGCCATTGAATTATCCAAATGGAAATGGTTAGTACACAAAGGAAAGGTGAATCTACACTTCAGCCTGTATCTAGAGATGGAAATATGATGGTAGATTTGACTGTCTAGGGAAACATTGAAGGGAGAAGAAAAAACGCCTGAGGATAGAATGTGGGATATTGCAAAAAATCCCCCCAAAGACCAGTAAGATTTGGTCTAAAAGGTAGAAGAAAGATCATTGAATATGATGAGCTAAGGAAGAGGGCATTTCAAGACTAAGAAAACAGGAGAAGAAAAGAGCATGTTTCAAAATGGCAGTCTAGGAATATCCTGAACTTACTTCCTCCCACAGACACAACAAACTACAGCTATGCATGGAATAATTTCTCTGAAAAAAAATCCTGATAACTAGATGAACAGGGCCTATACAACAAAGGATAAAAGGGCCACATGGAGATGGGGTTGGAGAGGTGGAAACATACCTGCTGCCAAAAAATCCAATTCTAGGCATGATGACCCATGAGAAGAGATCTCAAAAGTACAGCACTTTCTCCTGAGGAGCAAGGGGTTTGTACCCTACATCAGACACTCAAACTTTAGGTCCTATATGGGAAAGATGAGCCCCCAAACATAAAAGCATGAGGGACTGTATCTAGAAGAAGAATAGAACTGTAGGGAGCGGAGAATCTGCCTTTCAGGAGCTCACATGCAGAGTCACTCACCCCAGGACCTAGTGCAAAAACAGCAGCTTGAAAAGCACCTAGTCCATATGTGAAGCAGACTCAATTACTAGTCTTAAAGTGACCACTAGACAGACAAGAATGTGTGGGACTCTCCAGGGACAGAAGGATGGATAGTTGCCATTTTTTCAATATCTTTCTGCCTCTTAATACCAACACTGGTAGGTGTCATTTTAGCAATCTTTGTCTTACCTGCTTGTGCAGGTAGGTGCAACCCTCCTCACCATGCCTCAGCTATGCCACAGCAAGTTGGAAGAGCGCCCTGCCCCACACCAGAACCATGCCACAGCCAGCCAGACAAGAGGCCTGCCCTCCCAGGCCACAGATTTACCACAGCTAGTCAAATGCCCCACACCTCCTGTGCCATAGCCATACCACAGCCAGGCAAGTACCTCACTCCCTTCTGTGCTACAGCCACGGCTCTGCCTCAGCTGGTGGATGCATGTACCCCACACAGAGGATACCTTGGATTGCCTGGCTCTGGTAGCCAGGGGGATTTTGCTCCCTGTATAGAAGGGTCATCTTCTACACAAGGCCAGTTCTTCAAAACGGGGAGATATAGCTGTTCTGCTTAATACATGGGAACAAATACAGAATCAGGCAAAACGAGACAGGGGAATATGTTTCAAATTAAAGACAAGACAAAACCTCAGAAAATTACCTTAATGAAACAGAGATACATAGTCTACCTGATAAAGAGTCCAAAGTAGTGGTCATAAAGATGCTCACTTAACCAGGGAGAAGAATGGATGAATACAATGAAAACTTAAACAAAGAAAATATAAGAGTGTACCAAATAGAAGTTACAGAGTTGAAGAATACAATAATGGATGAAAAATACACTAGAGGGATTCAACAATAGACTGGATAAAGCAGAAGAATGTATCAGTGAACTGGAAAACAGAGCAATGGAACTCACCTAGAGTAGCAAAATGAAAAAAAATTTTAAAAGGTGGAATATCTTAAGGGCTTATGGGACAACATTAAGCAAAATAGTATCTGTGTATATGAGTCCCAGAAAGAGAAGAGAAAGAAAGGCACAGAAAACTTATTTGAAGAAATCATGACTGAAAACTTCTTTAATCTGAGGATAGAAACAGACATCCAGTTTCAGGAAGCCCATAGAGTTTCCAATAAGATGAACCCAAAGAGTTCCACACCAAGACACATTATAATTAAAACATTGAAAGTTAAATATAAATAGATCATCTTAAAAGCAGCAACAGAAGAAAGCTTGTTATATACAACGGAAATCCCATAAGTTCATCAGCAGAATTTTTAGAAGAAACTTTAGCAAAACAGAAGAGAGTGGCATGACTAATTCAAAATACTGAAAGAAAAAAAAAAAAAAACTTCCAATGAAGAATATTCTACCAAAGTTATCATTCAGAATTGAAGGAGAGAGAAAGAGTTTTCCAGACAAGCAAAACCTTAAAGGAATTCATCACCATTAAACTAGACTTATAAGGAACTGTACAAGGACATCTTTAAAAAAATTTATTTTAGTGTTCATTTGTTTTTCAGAGAGAGAGGGAGAAACAGAGCCTGAGCAGGGGAGGGACAGAGATAGAGGGAGACCAAAATCTGAAGCAGGCTTCAGACTCTGAGCTGTCAGCACAGAGCCCAACATGGGGCTTGAACTCATGAACTTTGAGACCATGACCTGGGGTGAAGTTAGACACTTGACTAACTGAGCCACCTAAGTGCCCCTAAAAGGACTTCTTTAAACAGAAAAGCAATGATGATAATTAATGACAATAAAACATATAAAAGTAAAACTGCCACTGGAAAAGGTAAATATATAGTAAAGGTAGCAAATTAATAACTGATAAAGCAAGTATGAAATAGGTAAAAAGAAAAGAGTAGTCAAATTAACTATAATAATCAGTTAAAAGATACATAAAATAAAAAAATTGAAAATGTGAAATCAAAAACAAAACATGGGCAGGGGGAGTAGGACTGTAGTTTTGGAATGTATTCAAATTTAAGTTGTTATCAACTTAAAATAGACTGTTCTATACCTAGAGTAGCAAAATGAAAAAAAATTTAAAAAGGTGGAATATCTTAAGGGCTTATGGGACAACATTAAGCAAAATAATATCTGTGTATATGAGTCCCAGAAAGAGAAGATTGGATATAGGATGTTATATGAGAACCTCACAGTATAACCACAAAGCAAACACTTACAGTGAATACCCAAAAGAAAATGAGAAAGGAATCTAAATATAACACTAAGGAAAGGTATCAAATCACAAGGATAAAAAGAAAGAGAAGAAGAGAGAGGAATTATAAAACAAGTCAGAAAACAGTCAACAAGATGGCAATAAATACATACCTATCAATAATTACTTTAAATGTAAATGGACTGAATACTCCCATCAAAAGATATAAAGTGGC